TATAATATCACGTTTAGAAATATAACACACTACACTGCCACAAGCATGATATTTGTCCTGTCGTAGTGACAGAATGGAATAGCCACCTAATTAAAACATTTGTTTTGTTGGATTGAGTGCACCCTCAGCAATTGCCCACAACACCCAGCTGTGTGGTGTGGTCGACACGCTGGAGGAAAGGGATGCCATCCAGAGGGACCTGGACAGGCTGGAGAGGTGGGCCTGTGCAAACCTCATGAAGTTCCGCAAAGCCAGGTGCAAGGTCCTGCACCTGGGTCAGGGCAATCCCAAGCACAAGTGCAGGCTGGGCAGAGAATGGATTGAGAGCAGCCCTGAGGAGAAGGACTCGGGGGTGCTGGTGGATGAGAAGCTCAACATGAGCCAACAATGAGCGCTCACAGCCCAGGACAACCATATCCTAGGCTGCATCAAGAGCAGCATGGCCAGCAGGTCAAGGGAGGTGATTCTGCCCCTCTACTCTGCTCTGGTGAGACCCCACCCAGAGTCCTGCGTCCAGCTCTGGAGACCTCAGCACAGGAAAGACACCGACCTGTTGGAGCGGGGCCAGAGGAGGCCACAAAAATGATCTGAGGGCTGGAGCACCTCTCCTGTGAGGAAAGGCTGAGAGAGTTGGGGCTCTTCAGCCTGGAGAAGAGAAGGCTGCGGGGAGACCTTATTGTGGCCTTTCAGTACTTAAAGTGGGCATAAAGGAAAGCTGCAGAGGGACTTTTTACGAGGGTGTATAGTGATAGGACAAGCAGTAACGGTTTTAAACTAAAAGAGGGTAGATTTAGGTTAGATATAAGGAAGAAATTCTTTACCATGAGGGTGGTGAGGCACTGGCACAGGTTGCCCAGAGGAGCTGTGGATGTTCCCTTCCTAGCAGTGTTCAAGGCCAGGCTGGATGGGGCTCTGAGCAACCTGGTCTAGTGGAAGGTGGGCCTTCCCACGGCAGGGGGGGGGGAACGGGATGATCTATAAGGTCCCTTCCAACCCAAACCATTCTGTGATTCTATAATTATTTTTGTGGTTGCACTACAAATATAGTCGCATGCAGACTTCAGTAATCAAATGTAGGTGTTTCCCCCTTGATTCTGCTGCAATGGAGAGTTGATAGACTTCAAACATAGCCTGTTGATGCTGATGGGTTTAAGAAGCACAAAACCTTTAGTGAACTGTTCATGCAATAATGATCTAGAGCAAAGAGGTCTGAGGGGTGATCCATTTCCTTTCACAACACCTCAGAAATGTAACCCCTAAATAATACATCTACAAATTCTCAAACACATTGTCAAGGATACACTATTTCTTAAAATGTAATTGGGATCTAATCCCTACTTAATTCAGATTCATAAGGTGGGATAACTGCCATTCCTCACGTCTGGACAGCCGTAGCATTTTCTGCCCCAGGCAAATACACAACCGCTAGTGGTTATCTAATTTAGCAACAATATTGCCCAGTCAAAGCAATATTGTAGATTAACACTTGAACCACGGGCATATATTTTTTTTTTTTGCACAGAAAAGCTTGTAAGTTCTCCTTCTGTTTTCCAATATGTACTCTACCATTTAACACATCGCTCATTTGAAATGAGTAAAGCAACCCCACGACAACTCCGCAATGAGAAAAAGACCAGCAAGTTGGGTAAAACACATCCCAACAGGCAAATGTGGTTTCTACCTCTCACGTGGAAATCTCTCTAAAAAACACTCTTGTGTTAGGCAAGCCCCCCCTGAAGCCAGCTGCGGAACCACCCCTAACGCCCTTCCCGGGTGTGGGGCAGGCTCCACTCCAGATGCTGGGCAGCACTGCCCAGGTCCAGGGCAGAGCAGGTCCAGGCAGGGGAGGCACGGCCCGCAGCGGGACCTGCCGAGGGAGCATGGCAGCTGGAGGGGCCTTGGCGGGAAGCAAAGGATCCACCATTTTCAGGACAACAGGACTCAATGCCGCCTTCATCAACAACTAGCATTTCCCCAAAGCTTCCTGCTTCCATCAGCAGTTTCTCCTCAAAACAGCCTCACGGTGGGCCCACCCCTTGCCTATAAAATGAGTGGAAGCCATGGATGGCCTCTGTTGTCAGCTGTTTCTTTCAGTTGCTTGCTGACTCAGCTCCCTGCCTTTGGCATTTGTTCTGTCACTTCCAAACGCATTTCGTGCTGTCACCTCTTCCCTTGTGCGGGTGCAGGTCATTCCAGAACCGCACCGCTGCAGACTCCACTTGGTCCACACCAAATGCACTCTAAGACCTTGTGCTACTTGGTGCTAGTGGAAAACCTCCAGGGTTGTCCCTGAGAAAGCTGCCATGTCCCCTCCTGTTCATGCCAGCACTACAGGACATCAGCCAAGCATCACCCTCTGGTGGAGCTGCCACACCACTAGCAAGCTGCTGGGCTTTTATTCCTTGCTTTGGCACAACGGAAAGCCTCCCTCTGCTTTTCTCTTGATGGGAACTATCAGAAGGGACGCTGTGAACTTAGGAGCTAACAACTTTTTCCATTTGCCAAGGTAATGCTTTCACCCACTGACGCCAGCATTTGATTGACCACACTTTGCATCATGCTTATAACAGAACTCCAGCTGCTGCCTCATGCTTTCTCTTCTTTGCACAGTGGTTCAGTCACCGTGGGCCCTGCGCAAAGGGCTCTGCTATTTTTCCTGAGGTGCGTAGAATGAGACGCATTTTCATGCCACGCTGCATAGGGGACATGCAGGCACACCAAAGCGCGCTCTCAATCACTGGACACACACAACTGTTCTAGCAAACACCATAGATGCTGAAATGCCACCCAGCGACCATAGAAAGAACATGCTGAAGGCTGGGCCATAAGCTTCATTTGGGATTCATCTCATCCAATTTTAGCTGTATAAAGTATCTAAAATAATTGCATACAGCCCTACAGGGTCATCAGGGAAGCGTTGAGCGGCTCAACCACAGGCTGCAGTGCCATTTCAGAGACCACAGGACATCCCAGCTGGCTTCCACACGCTGCTCCAGTTTGCAGGTCTTCTCTAGATCCCGGGTCCTATCTGCCAGCCCCTAGAGATGCCACAGACTCCATAGGATGTCTCAGTTGACACCAAGGCAACTGAATCAAGCTCCATAGAGAAGCACTTGATACAGGACTTGGCAACTCTTTTACACAAAACACGCAACTGGGTACATTTACGAGCTGAATCCCATCCTGTGTCAACAGAATAATAGAATCATAGAATGCTTTGGGTTGGAAGGGACCTTTAAAGACCATCGGGGACATCCTGCTGTGGGTAGGACTTAACTCCAGTTTGTAGGCATCTAAAATTAAGTATGGAGAACTATATCCAGGTGCCTTCTCTCAGATATCTACTGCCATCAGAATTCCCCACCCTGTCTCCAGCTGCTTGTTCAGCTTTAGATGTATAGATGTCTATAGATGCACCAGTTTAGCTGTCTTAAACCATGACCTGAATCTAACCCAACTAGTAAAGCAAAAGATAACCGGGCCCAAATGCTTTTCCTAAAACATCAGCACCCCTTCACCCATCTGTGCACAAACTACTCAGTGAAAAGTCAATGTTCTCTGCTTTAGTGTCTGCTCAGTATTTGTTTTGCTATTGCTAAATAAAATTGGGTAAGAATTTTGCTGAATCATTTTGCTTGAATAAACCACACCAGAAACACACAAAATCAGTCTGTGTTGTTTGACCACCAGTGTCTTCAAAAAACGTCATATTTATTCCTTACGGTAAAGCTCAGCCACCAAAAGAATCATTTGGTCAGTAAAATCAATTCATATAATTTCGAGCAATAAACAAATTCCAGCTTAAAAAAATAAACAAACCAAGAGCCAACTCTTTAGCTGCTGAAAAATTTTATTCTTTTGTTACTTCATATACCTGAGCTATGAAGGCTTGTACAAAAAAAACAAAATAAAACAAAATTCCAGTATGGTTTTGCTGATGTTAAAACTGCAGCCTCATATTTTTTAATCATTTACTGTAAATAAAAAGAGAGGGAGGAAAACTGTCAATGAATCTACTGAAAGCCCTTAACCTTTTGGAGATTGTCATTATTGTTGCAATGAGGATTGACTAAAACTTTTTTTTCTTTTTAAGAAGTGACAATTTTATTCAAACCTTTCTGCAGAAACGTGCCCCATTTCAGTGAGAAATTCACTGAGAAGTGAACTTCAATTCAAAACCTTTCGCTGTCTCATCCAAGTAAAACCCCAGTCCCTTCTTACTGAACAGAGCAAGGGCCTGACTTTGTCTCCTCCACCTAGTGGGACTGCACCAAGCAACAGGGCACCGAAAGAGAAAAAGAAGGGATTATAAAAACACATATTCAAACTTCCCTTACTAGCAAAATTCAAAATAAAATACTTGTAGCAGCCCCAGGAGAGTGCAGCACTATAAAGAGACGATCACTTGGGTGGAATGTAAGGAGCAAATCCTCCAGCGGAGGAGTAAGTCCATCAGCACATGGAAGGTGTGTGTACGTACGTACTACGGCTTGCAGAACTAGATCCTGTGAGAAGCTGAGTGGTTTTTGCAAGATGCTACTTGAGGGTACCCGGAACTGAGGTGTGGGAACCATGAAGCCTCCAGATAGCATCTTGCAGATTTAAGTCCCTAATACAGTATAAAACACATTTACTCCAGTTAGTGACCTGGGAGCTTGCTTTGGCTTAGTTTTTCCCCTGAAGCATTTGCTGTTAAATTAATTAAGCATTTAAAAATAACAGTCTCTCACTTTCCAGAGACTTCACATAAATACTACTCTGTCTTCTTCTAAGGACCAGATTTTCTGCAAGGATAAATCAATACAGTTTCACTGGCCGAGGATCTGGCCTTAAAAGTCTATATAGTGCATTAAAACCAGCGCAGCATGACGTATGCCTTGGCAGGAGAACAATTCTCCACATTAATATTTGAAAAAAATTTGGCAGAAAAAAAAAAAAAAAAAAAATCCACATTTTTAAAATATGCCATTTCTTTAAGAGAGCGTAAAAGCAAAAAATGGTCAGATATTAAAATGGGGAGAGCGTGTGAACTGTACGGTTACGGCTGGAGTTTCACTGTCGTTCTCCTCAAGCTTCAGTGCAGCGTTGTCCAAGCCAGAGCTGCTGGGCTGTGGCAAGGCGGTGGGTTCTGCAGTCCGAGTCGGAGTGGAGCAATACAAGATGAAGCCCACCATGATGATAACGAAGGACAGGATATAAAGACCTGAAAACTGGCAGAGGAAAGAAAGAAATGCATTAAGTCTTATCTGATGTGAAAACATGTCAGCACTGCCTTGCTTTAAGAATGTGAAAGCCACCCTTCCTTTTTAAAAATATTTTAATGAGGATTATCACCACGATCTGTATTCAGGTCTGAAAAATCAAAAGTCAACAGTTCCATCCACTGATAGCCTCAAGCTGCTGGCTGGTTTTCTCTCCATCTCATCCTCCACACTGTTGGACAGGGAGTCTCCTTCATATACACACAAGCACCTCGACAGAGGGAACAAATGGCTGCAAACATGGTGATACTGAAGGACAGTTGTTTACACACGTGAATGCTGTAACACTGCACCCCTAAAAGAATTTTGCTTCAGCACAGCCAAATACTCCAGGTCCTGGCAAGAGGTGAATCTCGCCATGCTACTGCATTCACCAGAGCAGCTGGTTCTCTGCACAGCTCTCTTAACCAGCTGCAGGGCTAGATACGTATTATGAGACTGGGGTTCCTTTCAGGAGATCGACATTTGTGCTCTCTGTTAAGAGCGACGTGAGGTAAGAGTCTGAACTACGGAGGTACATCAGGCGTTTGGTTCACTACCATTCACTTGCCTGCTTGAAGTCCAACTATTGCCGAGATTCATCCACCTTGACAGAACAGGAAATGCTTACTTCATAACACCAGATTCAAGAATACAAAGTGTTCAAGTTATCCACAGCCAGGAATGCATTTCAGCAGATTTGCTGAAGTCCACCATATTGCCTTGGCCAAACCACACTGATTAAACAGTAGGGTGAAGGACACAGCACATCCTGCATCCCACTGTCAATAATTCCCTAAGCTCCTTAGCTTCCTTAGACATACTTGACAAATATCTTCTAGTTTACCAAGCAGCAGAGCTGGAAGAAATGAATGGTAGGACCTGGACGGAGGACTGTGATCCAAAAAAGACTGAGGCATCTACGATTCAGGCACTGCAATTCCTAGCTGGTAGTCACTTTGCTCAGAAACCCTTGGACAGTACCATGCAAAAGGCAAAGCAGACTGAAACACGGTGGCCTTGTGATAGGTGCCCTCCCTCCTCACCTGGCTGGCTGTGTGCCTGGAGGAGCTTGGACTCCAGCGTTCTCCCTGCGCAGGAGCAAGCACCAAGCTCTGTAGATCTCCTGCTGGAGGCAGCAGCAGCATCCGTGGCCCATTCCCATCGAAGGGGCAGAGCTTGGGTCTGTATCAAGGCGCCTGCACAATTTCCCCAGAGTGCAGCCGAAGGCCGTGAGTGAACATGTGCTTGCATGGAAGGACACATGGCTGGCAAGCGAGACGGGGCGGCCACAGTAACTGCCAGACCCCCCTCGCAGTGCGTACAAGGCAGTAGGAGTCTCTGCTCCTGCTCAGAATTAACCCCTCCATGAGCGGACACGCTCACCAAGCCAGGGTGCCAAGGCTGTGGCAGCACAGCTGTGTTTCAAGGCTTGCCTACACCTCTGCAGCTCTTGGCACAGGGAAACCTTGACCATGCTGCTCCAACAGGCCTACGCTCTTTTTTTTTTTTTCTTCTCCTTTCTTTTGTTTTTGGGGAGGCATCAGTGGTCTTTTCCTGGTTTTTTTTCTTCTTGTTTTTTTGTTTGTTTGTTTTTTTGGGTGGTGTGGTTTTTTTTTTTTTCATTTGAAATACTGCAGCAACTTCATTGCTTCAGACACTGACTTCAGTCGTACCTGTGCAGCTTATATCCCCATGCGAACTCTCAAGCCTGAAGACTACTTTCAATGCTGCTGGAGGACTGTAACTCCACCTAGTGTCTGTGTTTGCAGTGTACACCCTTCCATAGGAGTTCATACAACGAAAACATTTGAAGACTGTTTTTTAATATCTCCTGAAGCATTACAGGTACCTATAAAATGAGCTCATTAGGAACAGACAAGCACAGCAAAAATTCATTATGGAGTAAAAGAAAAAAAAAAACTCATCAAAACAGGTGTGCAGAATACATGTTCCTGTGTGCAGCGTGCTTTTTAATCCAGGAAACGTCCTGCCTGGTTTCTTTGCCCCATAGGTAAAGAAACTATAGTGTTAGCTTGGCAATAAGATTTTTCTACTGCTCAGTGTCATGTTAAAAGCCATGTCAAAATCAGGTGCTTGCAGTTTTTGGTTCCTAACCTATCTCAGATCCTCTGATTACTAAAGAGGTGCCATTATTACTGCTCCTCTTTTTGCTACTTCATTGTTTCTAACCACAGGTGCAAGTTCCTATTTTAATAAATATCTGAAATTCTTTCATAATACAACCTCAAAGTCTTCTCTAATTCATTTTTCCTTTTCGCTATCGGAATACCTCACAGTTAGTAATTATGGGATGATCTGCTCCCAGGAAACCTCTCCCCACAATAAGCTAAAAATCCTGAAAAGTCAAAGTTTATTACATCCCTTCCAAAGCTTTTGCTTACTTCTTCCTCCTTACTATTATGAACACAAATTTACAATCACTTCTTTAGTTCAGCCATCTGGGTGCCAAAATACATGCTTGACAGTTACTTTGAAAGGATTTTTTTAATTATTGGAACGTAAGTATGGTTCTATTTCTGCATTCATTTCTAATGGATGCTTTGTAGCTTGGAGCAAATTTTGGAACCCAGAACAGGGAGGAAAGCTGAGCTAAGAGACTCTTGAAAAGGAAAATCTAGCTGTAGTCAGATCCTACCATTACCAGACCTCTGTGCTGTAAAATAAATTGGCCTTAATTTTCAGAAACAAATCTGACATAAAAGCTTCTGGCTCTCCATAATGCTGAAGAAAAAGCAATCACATGGAATAATACAAATTAAGTCCTTAAGCAAAGTTCACAAGCTTCTCACTAGAGCCCTAACTCAATTACTCCAATTGCTGTAACGAGCTAAGTTCCCACAAATGATTCTGGATGAAAAGCGTAGGGCGGAATGAAAATTTTTCAGGCCTGTCTTTTAGCTTGAATAGACACTAACAAAAATATTTCAGAGAGCAAGAAAACTAACGACGTTTTGGCTAGTGTACAGAGTAATATATTTATCTGCATCTTTTTCAATTCCTTTAGTCTCTCCTTAGCAGTAGCACTGAGAGCTTGATTCTTATCCCAAGATTTTGGTAATGAACAGACCAAATTTCTAAAAAGATATTGATTTCTCGAAATCAAGCCAAACTGCTCCTCTCTCTTTGGAGACCTGGAGAGATGAACCAAATCTAACACAGTTCCACATAGGACTTACAGCAAGAACTCTACCATTTGAGCACCTCGGGAAGTTACAAACTATCTCTTAACATTAATGTTGACATATTCCATCAAGTGTGAAATTGTTTGAAAATCACTGTCTGCCTAACGGTGTGATGCTATCTAATTAACTAAGCATGACTCCTTCTGACTGACATCTGCCAACGATGAACTATTCAAGCTGTAGAAATGTACAAGTGCAAATGACTGTTCAGGGGCTTTTAAGAACATTAGGCTTTATTTATAGCTTTGGAGTAAAAACATAACTGAAATGATAGCGAAAGACTGAAGGTACTTACCTTATAGAAAAAGAGGAAAAGCCCGAAGAACAGACTGTAGAGATCCGCAGTCAGAATACCCAGATTGACCGAGGTTGCGCTGGTAACTTTAATCACGACTGGCATGAAGCTATACAGCCCAAACATGCACAGGGCAAAGACTGTGAACAGTAATGCTGTAAAACAAGGTGACAATTTACTCCCACGGCATGGAATAATGATTTTAAAGAACACTGATGTTCTTTAGATGCTTTAAAAATATGCATTTTTATCTTCTAGGATAAGGTCTCCTAAAAGATATGGGAATGTAAATTTAAGAAAAACATGATAGAAATATTACTTTTCCAAGACTACCCTGTATTGCAAAAATTACCTTATCTATTCAAGAAAGTTCTCGTTCCTTCCTAGTTAATGTAAGAGCTGGCTGAAGAAATTTAGAGCCACATTACTTAATATCGTACAGTTCTGTTGAGGTCAAAATGTGTCACAAAATCCATTTTTCCAGTATGTCATTTAGGAAGGACAACAGAAAAATGTTGTTGTGGTGTTCCAACACCAAACACGTCTGTAATTAAACAGGTTTAATTTTTACTTATTTCAATTTATTTTGAAAAATTATTTCATGTTATATGTAAAATGTAAAACCTGCGCTCAAAGATTTTAATGTTCAGTCCTGCAAATCTTATCTCCTTGCTGAGCTGCAAAGTTTGCAGAAAATAAACTGGTGACAATATAATATGAATGCTGCTTAATATCCACAGAAAGAAAATTAAAACCCAAACATTCAAAGTCTAAATGATTCTCTTTTCCAGTGTTCTGTAAAAATGCACATCATGTGTCATACACATACCAATTTTCCAGTTCCATTGAATTCTCATTATCTCCCTATGTTCCACAATGGCTCTAGAGTTAGAGAAAAGATATAACAGAGTAAAAAAGAAAAAAAAAAAAAATCACATTCAAATAGAGAATTTAATTACCAAAATATGTATGAAATATTTTGATTTATAATCCCTTAATTTTTTGTTTGAAATATTATTGAATGACACTAACTCCAACATCTAACAAGCATGAAAATAAGACTTGAAAATTAAAGTGCCTGAAAGTCAAGAGCACTTTTATTTAATTCTTATGCCTTCTTCCCAGGCTTTTTCATCCTTCAGAGATTCAGTTGTATTTGATACACCATTTGAGCGAATTATTAACTATAATGATGAGAAATGAGGAACATAAAATTCATTAGACAGTCTTAAGTGCATGTGGTCTGTTACTCTAACGTGATTATTTGTAAGAGTATTCACGGCTTCATTTTAAACTGAAGTTTAACATGGAAGACCTCCCGCTAAAAATTATATCCTAAACTTTTCCACAGAGAAAATCCATTAAGAAATACATTCCTGTGACCAGCCCTCAGCATACTGAGTGTCCTCATGAAGATCAAAAAAATCAAAACCACAGCCAAGTATCGTACATGTTCAATTGTAGGATTTCAGCTTTAGAATTGCTGTAATAAGAGTAGTGCAAATAAAAAGGATATAAAACAGATGCTGATCAGCAACAAAAATAAAATTCAAGTGTGGAAGGACCCCAATACAGGCCAAATGCAGACATAACAAAGAATTAATTTAATAACAACAACATAATTTCATGGTAGACAAGTGATCATCTGTAGAATACTCGTAATTAGTTTTAAAATAAATATTAGATCCTTACAGCTGTAGACCGCTGATAATAGTCCCAAACAAGCCCACCATTCCTAGAAACTCCACTCTGCTCAGATTTTTCACAATGTATTCCTCACTCACATTAGAAATGGCATACAAAGAAGCACCAAGAAGCACTAAGACATCTCCAATCACCACGTCACTACCTGTACAGAAATATTAATCCACAATAAGGGTAATGCTGCAAACACTTTTGAACTTTCCTTAAAAAGACAAGCAAATTTATCTCTAACATCTCTATTCTCCTAGCACCTTCCAGGGTAAGGGGAAAGGGTAAGGGGAAAGGAACTATCTCGTGTGTGTGCAGATGCGTGGCTCGGTGTCTGAGCACAGACTCTGCTACCTGCTTGCCTCGCCCTACTCTGTCTGGAATGAGCTAAACCCGGCATTTAAATCTCATCTGGATCAAGCCACTGCTGTATAGCCTGGTCCAACTCTGCTTCTGCTGACCTTAGGCACTGTAGGGACCTCACAAAATTCCCGGGTAGAGATGCTCTCCACCTTTATGAATATTGCCCCTGCTTTTGCAGTAAGGCCTGATTCAAGTCTTGCTAAAATCAGCCTATTGATTTCAGCGGGACCTGGACTCAGCTTCAGGTTTACGACAGGTCTTAAGTGGGCATTGCAGATGGGAGGCATCATGTGTCCGGCTGCAATTTATTTATACTGTGCAAATGGGACTCCCTGTGATAGAATCACTCATCCAGTAAATCCTGTTGTGCATCAGCTAAATAGCAAGAGGATCACTGTTGTTTAAATCCTTGAATCGATTTAAAATTTCCTTCCCTAAGCCAGTTGGCAATCACTAAGAAAACATGTCTGAAATATAAGGGTAAGCAGTAGTAAGGATACCCAGGTCAGCAAATAAAGCACAACTGTCTTAAAAGTCTCAGGGAAAGCAGATTTTTCCCCCTCAGGACTGAGGTACCACATAGCATTAAAGCTAAGCCTCAGTTTGTCTAGATGTCTTACCTACAGTGAGGCCCCAAAATAATGCCAGACAGGCTTATCTCTGCTGCCCAATGAAGGCAATGCCCCGTCCCTCTCCTCCTGAAATTTACCTTGCCTTGTACCCACTGGCTCTGGAAATTCAAAATTCTTTTCCAAAATCAGATCACTACAATATGGGTTGATTTAGGCATCTGTGGCAGAGAAGACAAGACCTGCCCTCACCTGCACCCAGCTGGACACTGGTGCCCGGAGCCCAGCCTCCCTCCCAGAGGTCCCCAGCACCCTGCCCATGTCTCCTCTTGCTCTCCCGGGCTAAGCCCCTGCTTTCCAGGCTGTGACCTGTGGGCCTTAGGGATACGTGGAGTATTTCTGCTGGGTCTGCCAAAGGTAACTCGGAGAAGCCAGCCTCCTTTTCAGTAACTTTTGATTTGCTATCTATGCTTATAGAAAACTGCAAATTGGAGAAGTCTGGCTGGTAGCAGGCTGACACAGTGTAAGCGCAGCAAGATTTGCAGGGAGAGGTAGCATCTTTTATCAGAGAATCACATGATCAGTAAAAGCGAACAAGCTTTCAAGAATGAGGCCTTTCCTCAGGTCTGATGAACAGCAGCAACATTTAAGCTTAACACAAGTGTTTCTCTTTTAAGGTGGAAGAAATAATCCGAACCTACAAGTAAAGAAATTCCACAGCTCTCTATAAACAGCATCTCCTCAGCCACTATCTTCTTGGACAAGAAATACAAATAGCAGCGTGTCTTCTCCTCTTCTCTTTTAAAATGAAACTGTATCCACTCCCCCTGCATTTGCTCCTCTTTCTCCTTTCTAAGTTAGCCCACCATGGGAACCGTCTCTCCACTCTTCCCCCCGCGACAGAGGACTCCTTACCTTCGCTGTCCTGCCTCCCTGCCAGAATGTCTGCACCCACCATTGTTCCTACACCCAGCAAACAGACGGCAACAGCAAGAAAATGGATCAGCCTGTATCTTGCCCGGAGAATGAACCACGACAGAGCCATCAGCACAGGAATTCCGAAACAGTCCAGCAGCTGTGTGTGCAGAGAAATGGTTTGAATTAGAAACCCACCCTGAATCTGGATTGTACTGTCCTGAAAGCAAATGATTTTACTTGCCATCGCTACCACGTTAATGAAAGCCACAAAACAACCCCAATGGATTCAAAGAAGGGTCAGACCCACATTTTTGCCATGAAAAGCATTTTGCAAGTGAAGAAGGAGTGGGGGATCAACCTTTGCAGCTTCACAAAGGACAGCGGATGTGGTTCTGAAACCACACTGCTCCCCACGACACCAAGACAAGGAGGTGGCTCACTGACATTTCCTTTTCTCCCCACCAGGTTGTGTCTAGCTCGTCTTTTCACTCCTCCTCAAATCTGTAATTAGAACTTAGACTTCCATGCACACAAAGTAAAAATCTGGAATATTAAAGGATACAACTGACCTGAGTCTACATCAAAGTGACTAGGGCAAGAATCTGACCCTGTAGTTCTGTTTTTGAGGTTTTTTTCCCCCCAAGTGGATCCTACTGAAAAGAAATGGGTACATAACCTGGAAGCCATGTACAAAGAACAACTTTCCTAAAGCCACCCTCCCAATCTTCCAGCTTCCCACAAAATCACATTAAATCCACCAACACATTTTCATTACTCTCAGTTAGTCAGAAGTAGGTAACCGACTCCGTAATTCACCCATGTCCCAGCAGCAGAGACACACGAGGCAGCAGCTTTGAAGCACTTCAGATGTGTTTGCAGGCACCGCCCGGACAGACTGAGCAGCTATGGTTTAAGGATGTCTGTGCTCCACAACAAGCTGCAAGCACCGACTTCTCTTTCCTTTCTTCATCATTCCCTATCTTTTTGTTCCTAAAATCTTACACATCTTTGCCTTGCTGTAAGACCCACCCATCTTCTACCCATTCTCCCTTAATACAGAAAAACACTCAAGAGTTAGCTGTGTACTTAATACAGAAAAACACCTTGAAGGGTAAGATAGGCATAATGTCCCAAAATAACCAAATAATACGAAGAACATAGAGCTAATCATTATTGGTTTAATATTTAATTCAGTGAAATAGACTTTGTTTCTGAATTTGACTAGGGTAAAAAAAGGTGTATTTTCTTCTGACCTGCCTTTGTAGAGCGCCATGAAAACATTTAAGGCAACAGTCTACAGCAGAACATACAGTCAACCTTCCAAAGACTGCTCAGGAATTACTCTTAATATTCAGCCCTTAAGACCTGGCCTCCTGAAGTCACTATGAAGTCCTAGGTCCAGGTCAGCAGGACCAGAGCACAACCATTACAAGCAAGACAAGAGCCCTTAGTCCTTAATGTTCATTGCCAACTTCTGCCTGCTGAAGCGCACCACCGCAGTCTTCTGCTGTGCTGGCTTCCATTACTCCAGCCATCATCCCCAGGGGTTTGAACCAAACTTGTAAGACTTTCATGATATGTCTGTTTTGACTTGTTCATAACTGCACGTATTAAAGTCTTACCAGCACAGCACTCAGGGGACTTATTACGGACTAAATCCTAACTGGTGCTCTTTAATCCTTCCATCTATTTGTCTTTGCTCCTTGGGCTGCCTCCAGCTTGTCCAGTTTGAGGAGTCTGTGCAAAAGCACTTGCCTAGGCTGTATTATGAGACATCAGAACCCCACAAGTTCTAATGTGTCATACCATGTATTTCAACGTATTTGCTCTGTCCTGAAAGTATCATGCTGTGAGTTTCTATCTAGTCACAGGCCTTCTTCTCTATCTAACCTTTTGTCTAGGATCAAAAAAACCTTCTAACGTTTCCTCCAAATGTGTCTGTTTTGACTAGTATCAAACAACAAGTATCATTTATCTGATTCTACAAAATACATTATTTAGCTCTCATGACTGTTTTTCCACCTTTGGTCTGAACAAGTTCTCTCCTGAGTATGGAAATGTATTTGATCTCTCTGGTATGAAGTTGTAATCATAGAAACTAAGAAATATTACAAAAATCAGCAAGCAAAAATTTTAACCCCCTGGTAGCAGACATCTCTTCTATTAGTATAATACATAAACTTTCACTTCTCTGTTAATTGAGATTTTACCATGCAGCTTGCCAATCTCCAAGCAGTTTTTCAACCCAAACAGCAAGAGGGGAACAAAAATGCCCTTAAAAAAAATAAAATCTTAATTAAGATGCAAGGGAGCAGTAGATAACAAACCACGAGCTCTTTCAGTAATGCCGGAACTGCTCCATCCAGACCAACAACACACTGTAGTGCTACAGCATCCTGGTTAGAGGACTTGCAGCCAGGACACCACACAGGCACCAGATGATGAAGAATACATGCTGGTAATCTGTTCCAGGGGACCATTACCCCATTTCCCTCAATTACAGACAGCAGAAATCTGATTTCCAACTACCTTGTCTTCCCTTCATCTGCTACGCTACAGAGCTCTTTGGTGGAAAATGCTCTCCTCTATGCAGGATAAAGATCAAAGAGGTGCAAAGCAGATGTAACATCACAATGAGTTGTGTCAATGGAACCATTTAAAAGAATAAAGTTTATTTATTCAGGTTTTATGACATTTACAGCAGCACTGCAATACTGATCACCACTGCCAGCAGAGCTTTGGCAAACTCTCACCTTTTTCAGTTCTAGCCTGTATTTTTGCAAGGAAAAAAAAAAACCAGATAACCTGTTGATTGGATTTACAAATGTTTGGACTCAGGCCAGGCTTTAGCCACTCTGTTTATAGGAAGGTTTTAAAAGATAGGGTGAGTAAATTATTAAAAGATGTTTTAATAGATGGTTAATAAACGACCAGGGACTGCTGGAGGTCATGGGTTTGCTTATAATTGCCAGCTCCAGACACCTTTGAGAGCAAGAAAGCTCAACAGCTCATCCTGCTCACTTCCCCACATGGCTCCCTTCGGGCAGCTCCAGGGGCTCATCCTGCATCTTCTCTTGAGGTTAACGCTCCAACCTGAATTATCTATAGAGCAAATGCTAATTGTGCCTAAAACCACGCTGACAACATGAAACCACAGCTACACTGCTTGGGTTTAGTTCTGAAATACGTGGTCACACGGCAGCAGAGTCAAGCCCTGCCAAAAGACAGAAGCACACTGGCAGCAAAAAGTGTCACTGGCATTGCCTCAGCCACAGCCGAACAGGAAGGGTTCAGTTGTGGAATGAAGTCTTATTCTTTATTTACGGAGTAACGAGAGCTGCCATCCCGATGTTATCTCCTTAAAAATCTCCCAACCCCTTCCGTGCAACGCTAGTATTTGATAGCTAAAGGGAAACCAGTTTTGCTTTTGTGCGTATGTCCGAGAAAATACATGGAAGTTCCTTGCTGAGCTAAGAAAACTTGTCTTTGAAGGTAGGTTTCCTGGGGCTGAGCTGGAGCTCTAGCCAGCCAGCATTTCAACAGCGACTCCCCTCTATACGGGAAGGTGCCATAGACTCCCACGTTGTTCTTATGCTCCCTGGGCATCCACTTGCAGCCAGTGCTGCAGACAGGCCATCACGCTGGGTGCCCCAAACCACAGGTTCTGATGTAGCTGCAGAACTGCTTGCTACTGACAGATATCAAATGCCTTGCACTGAAGAAAGTCACAGCCTTTTTTTTTTTGTCCTGTATCTCATTTCTGGCAATAGTGAGAAACTGGTGATTTCAGAGAATGTGCAAGAAACCTTACGGCAACAGGCAGTTACAACAAATTAGCAATTACTGAACTGCCACTTAAAGAAGCATCAGTCTGAAGGTTACCACAGGGGTTAAAGGTTCAGCAAATGCTTGAGTTTGGCAATCAGACAGGACAGCCTACTGTATCTATTCTTTCTTAATTCCTATGAAAGAAATCATGGGAACTAGCTTTGCTACTTCTGAGAACTTCGATCAAAGTCCTGGCTTTTTCAGCTGTAAAGTATATGATCAAACAGTGTCTTAATTATTAGCTTAACTTGATCTTGAGACTGAAACATGTCACTCTTAAAGCTTTGATTTCTTAGGCATTATCTGTAAGGAAATTAAAGGCCCAATGAGTCACAACACGTAAGTGGAAATGTGACAGCAGTAATCCATCAGGCACACACTACTGGTATTTAAGTAGTGCAAGGAAAAGTTACTGCAGTTCTCTAAAGGGAACCCAGACCACAGGAGTTTACTACTTTACAGGTAATTCCTTTAAATATTAACCCTTGTTACTGTGACTCTGTAAAACACTGACACTTGAATGCCCCTTTCCAACCAGCAGCCTACATGGTACATTATTTTTTTTATTTAGGTGACTGGGGCCACCACCCCAGCCACAGACCCACCGTTGCTAAAAGCAGGCGCAGGCTGGCACAACCCTGGACACACTCTCCCACCGTGCTTCTGCACCAACCCCTCCCTCGCTCCAGCAGCAGCAGCTGTGGAGCCACACAGCGAACTACCTTGGGCCTGACACCGCTCGCCGGTAGTCCAGCGAAAGGCAGGGTTTACTCTGACCTTCGTCAGTGCCGAGCCAGTTCGCTCAGGGAATATGGCCATGGAAGCTCAGGAGCATGCAGCTGGAGGCAGGAACTCTCCCAGCAGCTTATGTCTGTGTAGGGAGACAACAAAACCACGGCCTTAGCCCTCCTGTTCACAGAACCATTTCAGAACATGAGATCTGTCCTAGTGCAGTGGCACAGCACCAAGTACTGGTGTTGCAGAGGATGTCCACTGTCACTTCAGGAGCCTGGCATGCTGACCTCCCTTCCACCTCTCCCAGAGATGGGCCTGGACTGAAACGCCACATCCAAAAGCCACAAGGCTAATCCCTCACTGCACGGTCTGCGACACCAGCTAACTCTCAGTGTGGCCTCACGTTATGGGGTTACGTTTCACAGTGCCTCCCACAGCTTCTGGGACCAGCCAAGAGATCTACATCACTCATCAGCAAGAACCCACACTGAGTGAGTGTTATCTGGCCCTAAATCTTTATTTTCTGTCAGGAGAAAAACCTGAGTGGCTGTCAGCAAACTCTTAGAAGTGCGTTCTATCAAAATAATTAGAGTTCAACTCAGGAGTTGGCACTGGGTAACACCAGCCAATTTTCTCTGCTTCCTGGAAACATTATTCATGATGCAGGATGCTCTTCCATGTACTGCAGAGAGAAAATAGATATTGGAAAGCTTTTTCAGGCTTAAATAGCTTCCGTGTCTGTCCCATGAATCTCATTTCAGAAACCAGTCCAAAACTGTAATAAAAGCAACAGTTCAAAAAGAGAGATTGGTCCTTACCTGCACACTTGTGAGGGTCGTGTATTGGTAGGCTTTTACAATCATGTAATTGGCTTCAACATCAGCCAGTCCCAAAAAAAAATACTTCCACCACCTCTGCTTCAAAATTTGCCAAAGGCTGTCACTGCCTGTTCAGAAGAAAGCAGCAATCAATATATGTTTCTTTCCAACCAAGCGTCGCACAGGAATCTTGCTTTTTAGAAGCATAAATAATACTGAGATGTTTGATTTCGGTTGCCCCTGCTTAGAAAAGATACAATAACAGTACAGTGCAGCCCTGGAAAAGACAACACAAATGACGAAAAGCACAGAAATTCTTCCACGAGAAAAAAACCACTAGAATTGTTTAAAGAGTAAATTAATAAGATTAGGATGAATATTAAATAGCCTCTGGTACAGAAGCTTGTTACCACAAAGCCTATTTTCCCTAATACAACATAGGACTTGAAACCAAAGAGCACATAATTCTGAACAGATATGAAATTAAATCAAATGCACATTTAACCTGTGAAATTCATTTTCATATGCTATCACAAAGCAGGAATTTCAACAAGAACTTTAAAAAACTAGGACGAGTACTGAATAAGTTCTTTCGTTTCAAAATCTGAAAGGAAAATGTAGAAGAGAAAAAAAAAATGATGAACCAGAATCTCCCATCCCATATTTCACATACCAGTTCTAAATGCCAGCATTGTTGTATAAACTAGAAGCAGCAAAGAATAGTTGATAAAACTTTGAAACATTGGAGTATTCACTTGGTATTTTTCTGCTAGGTACTGGCTTGTAACAGCAGTCCCACAGATAAACAAGGAAAGCATCTGGCCCAGAATTACCGTTTTCAAAATATACCTGTGAATATAAAAGACAACACAGTAAGCTTAGCATTAGACATTCAAGTATTTTTTAAAAAAATATTTGCTAGTTACAGGGAAAACGCCATTTTTTAGATTGACACTTTATTCTTTTTCTACTCCCTATAAACGCTGCTCCGATTTACCGGTAAACAGGGTTTTGTCTTCACAGAAGATCTAGTCTAACCTCATGACAGCCACATAACAAGCGAGGCCAGTCCTCCACTGAGTCCTGCTCCGAGTCAGACAACAGAAATCTGCAAATTTGCAACACAGAGATAAGGAACGACTGCCTTCAGGCTCTTCCGAGACCTGAGCCTCTGACAGCGAGCTGACAATCTAAGATGAGCCAGGCCAAGGAAATACAAAAGCGCTAACCACAGAATCATAGGACAGTCAAGGTCAGAAGGACCTCCGAAGATCATCTGGTCCAATCTTTTGGGGGAAAGGGAGCCTAGATGAGATTATCCAGCACCCTGTCCAGTCACACGTTGAAAATCTCCAGTGATGGGGACTCCACCACACCCCTGTGGAGGCGGTTCCAGTGATTGATTGTTCTCACTGTAAAAAAATCCTTTTTTATAACAAGAACTGTTATAATTAATACTTATAGTGGATTTTTTCTGCTACATTCCATCACCTCCTGCTGCAATTCAGGATGGAGTTAAGAGCACATTTTGGCCAAAGATCACACTTGCGCTTACTACCTTTTAAGTCCAATGCACAACTGGGGGAGGAGGGGGACAGGTTATGCTCTTTTAGCAGCAATTCTTCACCAAATATAAAGTGAACTATTGCAGATGTTCCTACAAACAGGAGTATGCATAGATGGCTGCGTATCTTTTGGCTTGCTGGTTTTCCTGCCACTGGAGCTGTGTGCACCAGCCCGGTCTCTGCCTGCATACTCACAATGCACAGTGAGAGACGCTCAGCGCTGCGCTGTCTGTACAGGCCTGCAAAGGTCACACCTAATTTGTGTGCTCTGAAGACTACTGACGAGAATTTAACTGTCTGCACAACCGATTCATCTGTTCCTGCTCATGGTAATCGAGCAAGTGAAGAAAGCACCCCGTTCAGATTCTGTGCCTACCCTGTGCCCGCATCCCTCCCCGGTGATTTCTGGCAGGGCGCCCACGAGCCAGACACGCCACGGGACAGTAACACCGCATGTTGTCCCCAGGTGGGTGCCTTTAACACAGCAAATACCGGCTCACCCAGCCCTGCTGTGCAACCCAGCTATCAGGCGGCGAAAAGGGGGTGTCTGGGGGTGCTAAAGCCAACTACCATCCTACAGCCAAACCCTCCTTTGGGCAGGCAGACATCATCTCTGCACGGATTCTCACTCCGCTGCATGAATCTCATTTTCAATCCAGCCTGACACCAAAGCTCTTCTGACTTTAAAAACGCTGTTAGGCACATCTTTCTCTCCAAGTCCATTTCCAGGAGACAGCAAATCTCTGCCAAGTCCAGGCAAAACCACTGCAATTTTACTGGAGCAAAGCTGTGAAGCCTGCGTAGTCCACAAAATGAACTGTGCTCATCAACTCCTCACCAGGCAACGTTACAGCTGGCTTGGCTGGCAGAAGCCCTGCTCTGCTGGATGCAGGAGCCACAGAGACGGGCAGAAGCTCAGGCAATACCACTCCACAAACATCTCGCCTGTTTAACATGGGCTTCTGTGGGACAAGGTGTTCAACGCTCTCCCCCAGAATATGCTACACAAGGAGTACCTTTGCTTCTCCTGAACTACGGCAGCCTCTCTATAGCAGAGGCCTGGACTCCGTGGGCACAGTGTTTCAGCAAACTGAACATTTACCATGTTCCAGTGAGAGGGTAAAAGGTGGAAAATCTGCTGTCATTCAAACTTGCTAAAGCTTTATCGGCTTCAACCATCATTTATTAAAACCAAGAAAGACTTGGTTGCCTTTCTGCAAGTGGAATAACTCCATTAAGCTGATCCTCAGCTTTTCTAACAACTGAGTTATTCCAGTTTAAAGTACCTAGGTAATTACCTCCTTGCATTTCTGCATATGGGAAGAGATGGGGGTCCAGAATCTACAGGACTGTTTGCTCAGTGGTTACTGCACCAGCAATCACTGCTGTTTAGTTAATGGATGTCCTGCAGTCCTACAGCATCTACTTCCACAGTGCTGAAGGCACCTGACAAGGCAAGCAAGCAGCCTTCATCCTGCTTCATTCTAGTCTTTATTTTTCTCGATTTTAGGGATTTTTTTCTTCCCTGAACAGATTAAAAATGTTAAGATCAACAGAGCCACATAAAGACACTGTTCACTGACAGCGGAAGGCTGCCCTCAAAAAGATGTCCTCTGCGAATCCCAACACGCTGCATTTCTGGCAGCTTTCTCAGCTGTGTATAGAAGCATCCCCAGCAGCACCAGGGGCAAGCTGCAGCAGGAGGCACCAACGGTTTCCCCTCACACCCTCTGCCAAAACTAATTTCTTCAAAACTGAGAAAGTGACTCTGTGTTCCCATCGCCATGCACGGGGCTCAAGGCAGTTTGGACAGAGCAAGATGACCCCATCAAATGTGAGCTCAGGAGCCTTATTATTTCAGTGTCCACTAAATTCCCATAGCAAATTAAAAAGAAGCATTTGTCCCTCTGTAAAACTTGAGAGCAAACTTTAAATCCTACTGGTTTCATTTTGCAAGACAATTTCTTATAAGAAAAATGCTTCAAAGACGTGAGCTTCCATTCATTCCGGTATTGACACGAGTATTGACGACTGATTTTCTTATTAATAATGTATAATCATTTTTTGAAATATATTAATTATTAACTTTTCCATGCCAGAACTTGATCCTCTCTGCTCTTTTTTTTTTTAATGCATTGGTAAGGACTAAACCACTTTGGATTCTCAGATGACACAAGGTAAGTGGTCTGAAATGGCCATTTAGTTTTATAGTTTGGGTTTTTTTTTGTCGCTGTTGTTTTTTACTTGCTTGGTAGTTGGCTACTAAGTAATTACGCCTCCTCCCCCTTCAGCCACCATATCTTAGCTAGCTATATCTATGGCTACCAGCAAAGCTAGGAGTCATTCCGGGATTTTTTTTAGAACATGGAAGTTTGCCACAAATTGGTCTAAAGCCAACGCTGAACAATGTGCAGCTCTTGACACCACGAGAAACTCAGGCTTTGCTCAGGGAGCCACAATGCAGAAGAAAAATACCCCGAGATACTAAAATACAATCAGAGTCTACATCTCAAGAAGCTAAAGAAAATCAATAAGCCCACAGTTAATGACTGTATTGGCTTTTAGTTTAATAAATACTATAATTTTAATGTGATTTTTTTCATGAAAATAAATACAGTTTTTCAAAAATTAACTTTATTTATGCCACCAGTTAAACACTAACAGGCAAAGCCTGGCAATACTCTCCATGTAGACAGCTTACTTGCACTTTAGCTTTAACTACTGAACGCTTCCTGCATGCGGTGAAGGGCGGGGGACAAGAAACCATTTAATTTGAATAATCTCACATTTTCACGCGAGCAGTTACAGGAAAATGCAGGTTCAGACTGAAGCCACATTCCAACATGATTAGCAGATAGCTCAGGACAGGAAAAAATATTTTTAAGAATTAAAATTTTCAGAAGTTAGCGTTTCAATGTTCTGCTTTGAAACTGAGGTCAATTTAACTTATAAAAGGTAAGAAACAGAAAAGAAAAACTTTTTCCATTTCAAGAGCCACAAAGCATACTGTCTGTTGTGTTTTCTCCAAAAAAAAAAAACCCACGATAATCTAGTTTATTGCATACAAGTATTAAACCTTCGTGACTCAGAAAGGCCTCTAAGAAAGATGAAGTGGCTGAGCCTTCAGCCACCTGGGGAATAAAAGGAGGAAAAAAAAAAAAAATCAATTCAGTATCTTGAATACAAGACTTTACAAAAGTCAGCAAGAGTTCTTTATTTTCTTTCCCATACCATCAATCGACTCCCTTTGGGTAGCCCTCTGGAAACATTCTGGCAAAAGCACTAGCACAGGTGAGGTTACTGAACAGCTCAACAAGTCCCCATCTCGTCTTCTGCGGCATTCCCGACAGGCAGGAGGAATGAGAAGAGAAAACCGCGTCCCTCTGCCCTGTGGAATGACCCTGCCTGGCCAGCACACACCTCCACACCAGTCTGGGAGCGGGAGAGCCAGCACCTGCTTATTTGTCTGCCGAGGAGATCTGATGCAATAGGTGCTACAGACCAAACCTTGAGCCCCAAAAGAGCCTTTTGAACAGAGATTTTCATTCCCCAGACAGAAAGTGAAGCTGCAGGCGAGTGGCAGGTCCTGCAGGCTGGCGGTCGGAGGAGGCAGCTCCGCACTCAGCAGCTTCGGGACGCGTGCGATGCCCGCACAGCCTGGCAGATCTGCTCCCAAGTCTCCGGCGCTCGGGCAGCGCTGACACTGCCAGGGACGCCCTGGAAGGGGCCTCTGCCCTCGGCTGACCCAAGGCAGGAGGGGAAGCGGGCACTGCTCTTTCGGGACACCTCACCCCAGCCACCCTGCTCTGTCACCTCCTCTGCCCGCCATGACCCGTTCTCCGCAACAGTGTTGATAAAAGCGTACACAACAGATAAAAGGGCAGAAAAATCAGCAAAACAGAAAAAGGTTAAACCAGAACTACCAAAAAAATAGAAAACCCCTCAAGTGTGCACACGTGAGGTTACGCTTTTAGTTTACAAAACCCAAGTACATCCCTCGCTAACTGCGCGCTCGTCTTCGCTGAGGTGGCTCCGCGCCCCCGCACGGCAGCAGGGCGGGCTCCGGCCC